TGCATTGACATAGCAACCTTGTGAGCTTAGCCAAAGCCCTCCCACTCATCTCCATCATTGATTTATCATCTTTGTGAGATTGGGAGTGAATCCAAGTGCATTGCTTGAGTGTTTGCATCTAGAGGCACTTGGTGTTCGTGTTTCGCTGTGAGATTCGCTTGTTACTCTTGGTGGTTGCCGCCACCTAGATGGCTTGGAGCAGCGAAGATCGTCGAGCGGAGGTTGGTGATTGTCTCTGGCTCTGATCGTGGTGATTGTGAGGGGTTCTTGAGCTTTTCCCGACGGAGAGCCAAAAGATACTCTAGTAAATTGCTCGTGGCTTGTGTGATCCTCATCTTGTGTTGGTTGTACGGCACCCTATTGAAGGTTTGGCGTGTGATGCCAATTAGCGCGTGAACCTCCAAGTGAGTGAATCGCCACAACGGGGACTAGCTTGCCGGCAAGCAAGTGAACCTCGGAAGAAAAATCATTGTGTCTTGATTGTCTCCTTGGTATTCATTGGTATTCACTCGTTGGTCACTTGCCACGGCGGTATACCTCTCTACCACTCTCTTGTATTTCATTATACATTCACTTGGATAGAGCTAGTGGTAGTTAAGACTAGATAGTGTATCATTTAATTGTATTAGTCTCACTAGGTTGATCATCTAGGTGTATATTAGTGACATAGCTTTGTTGTGATATACTAGAGATCATAGAAAATAGAATTGGGTAGGTGGCTTGCAACCCCAAGTATAGTGCTAGCTCAAAATTCGCTTCGCCATCTTATTGACTAATCATTTGTCTTAGTGTTGTTGTAGAAATTTTTAATAGGCTATTCACCCCCCTCTAGCCATTAGGACCTTTCACTCCCTCATATATTTTGGGTTAACAATATGTGATTTAGTTGGTCACATGTTTTGTAATAGGGTTAAGTATTTTATCTTTATACTTTATAAGTCGGTTTTTCTATGTTCATATCCATACGATGCTGGCATGGTAATTAGTTAGACTAATTTAGAAATATTGAGTAATTTATTTTATACCTACTGTTTCGTTTGGTTTTTGTTTTCTAGTTTGTAGATATTATTAGGGTTATAATAATGACCATGCATAGGATAACATAGGTGAGAAAACATGATATGATGTGTTTTATGAAGGAATGGTCAATATTCCAAGGGCATATAACCCATGTTGATGCGATAGTCCTTGTCCTGAAATAGAAGGGAACAGAGTGAAACATGTTTTGGTTAATAGAGGGAGTTTGATGGTCTTCATTACACACATGTGCTCACGAAAGAATCGCTTTGCTTGGTATGAACAATCTCTCCATGTTCCCCCAACATACTATTGCTGCAAGCTAGTTTTTTTATATTAGCATGTTTATAATTGGTAGACACACCCCAAAACATCTTAATTGTGGCATAAATTCAAATTGTTAATGGAAGAATTAATGTTGTGGAACCATATATGATAGACCTATAAAAAGAAAACAATAAAGTATTTTGGACCCAACAAGACTCACCAAACTTGAGTCTAGTTAGGCCCAACCTAACAAATTTAGTATAGCTAAGCTCATTTACCCTAAAACCATGTTACTCTAACTTGCCACTCTAGCAGAGATAAAATATAGATCTTTTGTAGAGCAATTAGTTGTTTTGTTGTTTATCTTTAGATGCAATTCATCCAAAAGACTCAACCAGTATATGTGTAAATATAGGTGATAGATGCATGGCCAGCTATTTCTAATCATTGATCATCCTTAGGTTTGGAACATAATTTTGTTTAGGATGTCACTTCCGTATATTTATTTTTTATTAAAGTTACAACTTACAATTGACTTACTGCTGCAAAAGTGAAGTAAAATTGTGTGTAGCTCAATAAGAAACCAACTATGTGTTGAGGCATATTACAAGTTGGTCCTTTTATATAAAAATATGTTACAACTTACAAGTTAAAGTCACTAAATCTATCACATTTATATTAATTGAGTCTCTATCCAACGTATTAGACTAGCTCCACACGCCACTACCCCCATCATAACGCTTGCTGCATTGTAGGCGTCGACGAACCTCTACCTCTTGCTCGCCCTGTACCCCTCTCCCCTCTTTCTATCTTTGTGGGTTTCCTTCTTGTCAGCAACTAGTGTTGATCTAGTCGCCACCACCACATGAGTTGTGCCCCTATACTGCTACTAGCTCCCCTAACCATTACAAACCTTGACCTCGATGCCATCCATGCTCCGGTCCCTAGCATATGATGTCACCTTGCCTGGATGCAACAACATCACTGCCAAAAGGAATCACCGCTCTCCACCATCCCATGCCTTTCCACCCAATCAATAAATAGTTTGTTGTCGCCTTTGCCTTAGCCACTCCACCCAATACCTACCACGACCATCAAGTTGGCGAGCTCCCAAGCCATCCACCTATGAACCGCATAATCCTGAGCCCTAACCCTTGTATGAATTGATGTAGGTCAATGGATATAGAGGAGTAACCTGCAAAGGTGAGAGTTTTGACATATTACCCGATAAAAAACATTACAATATCATACGTAATTCTTACAATATGTACTTGAAATACATGAAAAAAACCAATGGCACATGAGGCGAAGATAGAATGCTAACTTAAAGTAGAGAAGAGACATGGAGTTTATATGCAAAGGTGCCCACAAAGCTCTGAAGGCACATATACATATATGATTTTAGCATTGTCTGAGAAAACTTTTGTTGGTAATTGTGGTACAGATTACAACACACATGGAAAATATTGGTGATTGGGTACAAACTACAACACATAACTACATAAGGACATATGTTAACTTCCTTGTCACCAACAACTGTGGATAGACGTGAACGAAAGTCGCGTAGGGTCTGCAAAAAGCATGGTTGAATTTAGACCTAGGTTTCGTGACCAGAGTCGTTAAGTAGGAAAGTTCGGGCCTGTCATTTCGGGTTAAGTCTCGGCTTGATCGGAGACCACCCACAAGTTTTAAATAAACAAAATTAAAATTTTTCTTAGGCTCGACTACTCTGAGCTAGGAATTCTTTTATGTGTAGTGATATTTTTTGCGCAGCCAAGCCAAGCCCGTCGTTCTTCTTTATCTTGCTGCAGGGGCTTGTATTTAGTTATCTATAACTTTTCATTTTATCTGTTTTTCCATCATCTTTTCTTCCAGCTAAAACAATTACTCACACTTCTACTATGTTAAAAACTCGTCATTCTTTGGCCCCGTTCGCTTCGCTAAAAAAACAAGCTGAAATCACTATTCCGACTAATTTGTTGTGAAAGAAAAATATTGTTCTGACTGAAAAGATAAGTTAAAAAGTACGTATTATAAGACTAACGAACATGGCCTTTGCCATGCAACTTTGGCCCCTCTGGAAGAGGCCGATGAACCGATGAACCAACAAAATCTCTGTTGCCCTACCTGAGTTCATTGATTATCTCCAAGCATCCAAACAGGCAAACACCAACCACAGCCCACAGTTGACAGTACCAACTATCAATACTACCAAAACAATCGTACCAACCGTGCGCATCATCCTCTCCGTCACTGTCCTCTGGGCCCCCGATTGAGGCGTCCTCAGCGTGGGTCCTGCGTCGAGCGTGGTCAGCCCTTCGGTCCATGCTGCTGACGTGGAGCCAACGAGGTGACTGTCACCATCAGCGCACTGCTGTCCTCGCCACCATGTTTGCCTGCGACTCCTAATTGGTTTGCTGACAGAGTTTAGCAAAGCGTCTGTTTATTTTAATGGTCCCAGAACCAAATGTGAGCTGGGCAAAGAGACAAGCAAAAGAAAAGATATAAAAAACCGACAGCAGCAGCGGCATGTGCGAACAAAAACATTGTAGGCTTTTTAGGATGCAGTGGGCGGATTACCGATGCAATATTGAGAGCCTTTTTTTAATAAAGCGGAGAGCAGTGAGGAATATTGCTATGCTGCCCCTTTTCTTTTAGTACTTTTATTATTATCTTTTTCGTGAGCTTTTAAATCCCATTCTCTCTTTCTGCAAGGAACAGTGCAAATATCTTTGGTTTGCCATGCTCAGTGAGGAATCTTTTTTCCTTTTCCATTTATTTAAGCCTTGCAGAGCATCATTATCTTCCCCCTCAATCTTGGGTCTGTCACAGCGCATTTTCATCACTGCTTGGCAGTGCTGTCACTCCTTGCAGCTGCAGTGTGCGAGTTCACAGCTCAGTGAGCAGCTCCTGAGGGCCGAGGCTCTCGGAGTATGCTAGAGTAGATCAAACACCTTTCTGTTCAATCCTTGGCTCAAAATCAAATCCTTTCCCTGCTATCTTTTTCACCCTTTCAAATCAACCAATGTCTTATTCGTTTGATTGATAAGGTATGATTGAAAGTACTGTTAATTGATTTATTGTGAAAAAAATACTGTTCGTTAACTGAAAAAATACACTTATGAACCAAACGAGCAGGACGCAAGAAAGCTCATCCTGTTTATCCCCACTGCCTGTTTTGGGGGATCGCCTGTTTTGGGATATCTTTGGCAGCCTTCTTTATTGCTACTACGCTATCTACACCTTGCCGTCCTCGTCACCCAATTTACTCACACCTGAGGGCTTGCATGCCATCAATGCTCCCCTGACTGAGGTGTTTATCATGTGAGCGTCTGCATTTTGCAATCACAGGAAATCCCCTCTCATGGTCCACTGTAGATGGAGTTCATTTATTCCCAAAATATTTTGAGCTTTGGCTTTTGGGGGCTCTAGCAGTTCACAAATTCTCAAGTTGTTGGGAAAATCTGGCTGGCCTCTTAGAGCTTTTATATAGCCCTTGCCCTTTCCAGCAGAGGTTTCAACTTTTCTTCCCCCCTGAGGTTTCGTGAGCTCAAGAAAAAGATTTCTGAAACTGTTCTTGGAGGTTTGCTCTCGCCGGTTTCCACTATCCCTTCTTTATCTCTCCGGCTCCAAGATCTGAACTTGGGGAGTTCTTGGTGCAGAGCAGAGCAATCCACCCAAATCGCCCCGCGATTTGGAGCTGGAGTAATCCTTCCATGGGTTCCCGGTCCGGCGATGGAGCGGCGGTGTCGGCTGCGGTGTTGGTTTGTTGGCTGTGCTTCGCGGCGGCCGGCGTCGGCGCGATAGGGGCGAACTGGGGCACGCAGGCGAGCCACCCGCTGCCGCCGGAAACGGTGGTGCGGATGCTCAAGGACAATGGGTTCCAGAAGGTCAAGCTGTTCGACGCCGAGGAGGGCACCATGAACGCCCTCAAGAAGAGCGGGCTGGAGGTGATGGTCGGCATCCCGAACGACATGCTGTCGACGATGGCCACCAGCATGAAGGCCGCAGAGAAGTGGGTAGACACCAACGTCTCCAGCTACCTCAACGACGGCGTCAGCATCAGGTATTTGCTTCTGCGTCAGTGTTGCTTCTGGTTACCGTTGGTGCTGTTCAGCTCACTCATGGTACTGATGCTTGGTAGTGGTAGCTAGTGTTAATTGTACTGTGGAATCTCAGTTTTGATGACGGTGAGCTCTGAGCCTAGAATATTGGGGAAATACGATGATTTTTATGCTACCCTCGTTTTGTCTTGATTGATGGCTAATGATTGAAACTCATGACTGATTAAATGTTTGACTTGGAAAGTAGTTATGCATCATCATTCTCCGTATACGACAAGCGGTCGGCATTCTTCGTGGCTCATTTAGTACATTTGTGCGCATGCTGTAGTTTGGACTTTGGACAGGACGGTTGCCGTTTCTGGTTGCGCATGTTGTGCTTTGCATGCCTGCTTGGGCGCTTCTGTCGCTGTTTGTATGCGAGAAACGGCTAGCGTATTTGTTCCATCCCCAATTTGGAAGTTTTGCGTTTCATTAATCTGTGCACGCACCACCAAATCAATGCCTGCACCATTTTGAAGAATCTACTTTGCTGATAGCTCTGTTGTGCTTGTGAATCATGCTTCTTTGTTATATGGAAATCTGCAATATCTTATAAGTTTTCACCGAGCACTGCAGCTGTAGTGGTGCTTGGCTGCACTAGAAATCATGTGACCATGGCCAGATTTATGAGTTACATTTTGAATAAAGATTTTAGCTGTCGAAGTGCCAATCATTTTTTACTACTAGGTTTCAGATGTTCCTTTTGTGTCTCAGAAAACATAATTTTTGTTTGGAAGGAGTGCATTGAAATGAACTTGATCCATGAAGGCACTCAGGAGCATTCAGTGACTTCTCAATATGCTTTAAAGACGTGGACCTTATGCTGGAGGAAATACATCCATTTTGGCTGGTCCAGTTTATTTGTGTTCCTTATTTGAATGGAGCATAGTTGTCCCCACTTGTATAATTTAGTTAGTTTACCTCAGGCCTTTATCGTGTCACTTCTTTATGCCTCTTATTTCTTTTCCCACTGTATTGTGTGGAATGCTTGATAGGTGGATGGCCTATCCACATGGTACTACTATAGAAGTTGGAAGGTTCAGTTTTCAAAGAAATTTTGAACACCATGTCTAGTTATAGAAGGAAAACTCTTTTTTAAACGAACGTAGTTGATTTTTAACGTCAAGAGTATGTCTAACCATCTGTACCTCAATTTGCGTAGCAAACTAATCCTAACTAGATATTTTTGTTGCCCTTTTCTATATTTATTTATAAATTATTGCTCGCACTTGCATCCACCATTTGACTAACAAACTGCCAGTGCCTTTTAAAATACATAGACCACTAAAGCTAAATACCTTGTGCCTTGAAAATTTTCTACGCATCTAACACCAGCTCATCGTATACTAATGCAAAGCTTTTATCTTCTTAATCACTAAAACAGTAAGCAGAACATGTAACAGCCGCAATGGCCACTTCCTTATTTCTTACCTTCCGTGACTGATAGCTTATCAATTCATTGATACTCTTTTCCAGCAGTTACAGAGAACAGACACGTACCAAGCTTTCATATCTTGTATTTTGAGCCTCCATATACACATGTTGTTCCGGAAATGCTGTTTTAACACTTCTGTTGCATGAAGTTCTGCCATGATTGTTAAGTACTCTGTTGCAATTTTACGTAACGCAGTACCAGTCAAACTTTCGTTTAATCGGAATCAGGCATCTTTAATTTTACCTCTAATGTTCACTGCCTGCTTTATGAGTTGTGGGAATATGCATCAGCATGCCATTTGAGCAACTTGCATGCACGGCATGACACTTCCATTTGCACATCATGCAGTAAATGAAATATGAATATTCAAGATAGTACTTTGCTTCATGTTCTGAATCTCACAGCCAGCTTCATTGTTTGTTCTGCCAGTGGTGTGTTGTTGATGTTAACTTAGTCAACCATCTGCATGATGCTGTGGCCTCACCTCTTTATTTGCCCTATTGCATTGTTAGGTATGTTGCAGTTGGGAATGAACCTTTCTTGGAGACATACAATGGAAGCTTTCTGCAAACAACTTTTCCTGCCATCAGAAACATACAAGGTGCACTTATAAAAGCCGGTTTGGGCAATCAAGTCAAAGTCACATGCCCTCTCAATGCTGATGTCTATATCTCGTCAACCTCCAAGCCTTCTGATGGGGACTTCCGGACAGATATTCATGATCTGATGCTCACTATAGTAAAATTTCTGAGCGACAATGGTGGAGCTTTCACTGTCAACATATACCCTTTCATAAGCCTCTACATTGATCCAAACTTCCCTGTGGACTATGCCTTCTTTGAGGGGGCCTCATCACCCATCGTTGATGGCTCCTTCACTTATACTAACATGTTCGACGCGAACCATGACACACTTATATGGGCTCTGAAAAAGAATGGTTTTGAAAACCTCCCAGTCATTGTCGGGGAGATTGGATGGCCGACTGACGGGGACAGGAACGCCAATGCTCAGCTGGCTCAGCGCTTCAACCAAGGCTTCATGAGCCATATTGCTTCTGGGCGAGGAACACCGATGCGGCCTGGACCTGTTGATGCTTACTTGTTCAGTCTAATAGATGAGGACGAGAAGAGCATACAGCCAGGAAATTTCGAGCGGCACTGGGGGATCTTTACTTATGATGGCTTGCCAAAGTACCAGCTGAATCTCGGGACATCAAATTCAGGTGGTCTTGTGAGAGCAAGGGGTGTGAAGTACCTTGAAAATAAGTGGTGTGTACTGAAGCCTTCTGTGAGCCTCAATGACCCAAAGCTTGCAGACAACGTGGGTTATGCATGTTCCATGGCAGAATGCACCAGCCTTGGCTACAAGACATCATGTGGGATGCTGGACACCCGCGGCAACATTTCATATGCATTCAACAACTACTTCCAGAAGAATGACCAAGATGATGTGGCCTGTGGGTTTCAGAATCTCGCGACGACCACAGGCCAAGACCCCAGCACTGGGACATGCAGGTTCGGGATCATGATCGAGGTTGACTCCGCCTTCTCATGGAGGCTGCAGGGGCATGGAAACAACCTCCTTTTGATCCTCCTGCTTGTGCTTCTCCAGCTATTCCTGTCCTTCTCTTAGATGCAGGTTTCGTGAGAGATGACAATGAGAGCATAAACGATCTGACAGCTTGAGGATATTAGATGTATGTTGTCAGTATCATTCATTTAGAAACTCTTTCCTAGATAACCCTTTTTCTTCTCTTTGGCAAGGAAATCGCAGACTGCTGTTTCGGGCATGCTTGATTATTGTTAGGGTTAACTTTGATTCATCAGTTCCGTTGTGGTAGCAATGAATGATGCATTGAGCCATCCACTGGCTAGCAGGGTGTGGGCATTGCTATTGAACCTCTGCAACTTCGGTGAGTTCAGGTTTCTCAGCAGCATATTTGTGATCCATCTTCCACATTATGCTGTCATAATCTTCAGAAGCTTTCATGACCAGAAAAGAGTTTGGTTCTGCTTCAGCATGGAATCAACATGGAGGGCAATTCTGTTCAGCGCTTCACACATGTTTTCACATGCATTCTTGTTGGGTGAAGTGTGATATGGTCACTCAAATGGGCAACGGGGCCACCAAGCACCGCCAGGTCAGAGACAGTTTCAGTCTTTCAGATCTGGGCCTTTGGGGTGGTACTGCACCTTGAATGACCAGGAACAGGGAAATACCTAGATATTTCATGGTGTCCAAGGTTACAGGTCGCAGCCCTTAACTGAACCATTAATTAATAATGCAGTACACATTACATGCGCAAGTGGCCTCATGGCACCTTGTTTAGATTGAAGTTTTTTCGCCCTCTCTTCATCACATAAATCTTTGAACATATATATGAAGTATTAAATATAGATAAAAAAATAATTAATTACACAGTTTAATTATAAATTACGAGACGAATCTTTTGAGCCTAGTTAGGTTATGATTAGACAATAATTATCAAATACAAACGAAAATGCTATAACGCTAAATACCGATTCCTAACTCCAATAAGGCCCAGCAAAAACCGTCTCCCTTTTCCTATTCCGATCCAGACCTGTACTGAAGTCACACACAACAGCACCTAGCAAAGGCTGCAACTACACTACTACTTGTTGCCCGGCCGGCGGCAGCAAAAGTTGCGGCGGCACGGCGGCTGCTCAGCAAGTGCAACGCTGACCAGGAGCACACAAAAGGCCGCCAGCAGCCCGGCCGTTGCTGTCACTGTTTATCCACTGACCACTGTGGCACGGTGCAGTGCAATGCCAAACGGAGCATGGCAGCACGACTTGAAAAGGGCACCACATCCACGGTGAGAGTGCAAGAGAGAGAGAGGGCGCCACTGTTGCCGATCCTCTCATGTTCGCCACTCTTTTTCTCTGGAGGAGTACAGCGGTACAGTGCAGAGAGGCCATTCTACCATCCTTCCAAGTTCCAAATGTGGCAACACGAGCTTTGCCATCAGGGTCCTGGAAATCCGGCACAGAAAGGAGGGTCCTTTCGTGGCATTGGGCTCGTCGCACGGCTCGGCACTGGGCACCGTGGCGAGGCGTAGTGGCCGCACGCCGTAGGACGGTGGGGAGTAGCTGGAAGAAGCCCAGAGGCAGTTGTGGCTGGTTGCTGCAGCCGCAGCAGCAGTAAACAGCAGTCACTGGTGGTGAGGCCTGCTTGTGCTTGTGCTTGGGGATCAGGGACGGCCATGTGCCTTCTGCCTTGGACCTTGGTGGTGGAGGTTGCGGAGGAGGCAGCTAGCCGTCTGATCTGAGCCGTGCGGAGGAGGCAGCTAGCCGTCTGATCTGAGCCGTGCCGACTGCAGAGCGAGCGAGCGAGAGATAGAGAGAGATGGATGCAAAATAAAAAGGCTGGCCATATCGTGCGTACTGTATCGATAATTGGGAATCTTCTCTTTCCTCGCTGCTGTCTTTTGGGTTTCTGAGGCCCTGGTTTCCCTTCCCCACTGCTTGCCCCCCTTTGCCGGTCGCTGTGCAAGAGCTGCAACGAGAGACAGATTCTCCATCATCCACAACGAGGAGGTGAGATTCTTGCTGAAAGATCGGACGGAGGGAGTAGAATTGCGGTGCGGGGGGTGGTCAGTGGTGGTTCCCAATTGCCTGCCATGATGTGCAGCCGCCGGAGTTGTTGTTGACGACTTGGCGATGCTGTGGTTTCCAGGCTGAGGGCCGGGGAGGAGAAGAACAGGGTATAGATCCCAGGAAGCTCGATGAGGATGAGGATGAGCCCGTGCCCAAGCTTGTGCCCCGGTGAGCGAGGCTGAGCTTCTTGCCCGTTGCCCCCACGAGCTCACCGATGCGCCGCCGCCGCCACGGCTCGTGCTCCATGGCTGTCCAGCGTGCTGATGCGGATTGAGAGGCAGGTTGTCCCTTTTCCTGGTGAGTACTTTGGCCTTTTGCTGCACCTTGATTGGCGTACTTGTGGGCTTTTTTTCCTTGCCTTTCTTGGTGCTAGACTAGAATATGATGGCGCTGCTGTTCTGTTCCGGCGATTTGAAAAAAAAAAGGAGTCGAAACATCGGTCGTTTGCACATACGACACTTACCCACATTCATAGACACAACCCACATTCATAATAGATACAGATGGACCCACTTGTTATCATCGTATTCAAGAGTCAATCTTTCGATGTCATTTTTGTAATTTTTTCGTTCTGTTCTTGCCATGATTGACGATCCATCTAGTAAAAGTTCAACTGCTCTCTCCCCCAACATGCCATCCGCATCCGTTCTGATATCACCTTGCGTACTTCTCTGTGAATTTAATGATGATGCATAGTTGAGTGATCCAGATATGCTCCTGCAAATCTGTCCAGTTTCTGCAACTTCCATGAGCCGAATTCTTTCTGTTCTTAACCTGCTTTCTCTCTCCCATTTTGTTGCTTCAGAGGTAGCTGCTTCGGCAGAAAAGTAGGAGCAGCAGCTCAGATTTTGGATCCTGGCATGGGTTCCTTTGGGATGGACTGGAACCAGAAGGCCTCCGTGTTGTGGGACTGGGAGAATTTGCTGCCCATAGGCGCAAACGGGAGCGAGAACCCTAGGATGACTGCTGCGCCTCAGGGTGAGGCCAAGTTTGCAGGCCTTGAGGCCACAAGGCATGAATCAGTGCATTCTTCCTGCGGCACCTTCTCTTCCAGCTCGGAGATGGGGTATGGTTCATCCAAGAGCGCCATATCCGCGTCGACTGATTCTTCGCCCAAGGCTAAGGGGAACAACATGGAGCTCAATTTCGTGCCTGCCAAAGCGCCTGACAAGAACACCAGCAAGAACACTGATTCGGGAAAGGTTAATGATGCCAGGACCTCTCCATCATCGGTGATTGCCATCAGCAGTGGAGAGCCGGTGCTAAGCCTGAAACTTGGCAAGAGAACATATTTTGAAGATGTCTGTGGAGAGCAGAGTGTCAAGAGTTTGCCGTCAGATACGAGTGCAGTGACTCCTCCTCCTGCTTCTGCGAAGAAGGCAAAAGCGGCTCCAAACACTCGGAAATCTTACTGTCAGGTTGAAGGCTGCAAGGTTGATCTCTCTTCTGCTAAAGAGTACCATCGGAAGCACAGAGTCTGTGAACCTCATTCTAAGGCTCCCGAGGTGGTTGTTGCTGGTCTGGAGCGGCGCTTTTGTCAACAGTGTAGCCGGTGAGTTCTTTAGCTTGTAAACCGAGCATCGCTTTTCCTTGGAGAAACATGTTTTCTGTTGTTTGCTTGGATCCATGTTTTGGTATCCTTGAGTAGGAAGGAAAAATGCTCTGCTATGTTGAAAATCCAATTTCTTGCAGGTTCCATGGATTATCTGAGTTTGACCAGAAGAAAAAAAGCTGCCGCAGGCGCCTCAACGATCACAATGCCCGCAGACGGAAGCCACAGCCTGAAGCACTTTCTTTTGGTTCATCAAGGCTGTCCGCAATGTTCTATGGTAGTAATAAGCCTTTGGTTGCCTTGTCATTTTGTGAAGCCAACACATTATTTATTTTTCTTCTTCTAGCAACTATTATGTTTAAGAATCTTAGGAATGCAAAGCTGCATATTTTATCTGTGAAATTGATCTCCTTGTTTTATTCACAATTCAGTGTCATGATTTTTAAGGTGTGATTCAATTTTTTTTTAATTTACGATATTAGATGACATGGTTACTCTGGTAGTGTTGGTAACTGATGAACTCCATCTGAGGGAGTGCCATTTTGATTTGTATAGAGGGGCACATTTGCTCCGTTCTTTTCAATTTAGATATCTAACACATGATTCAGTTTTGTCTGCCATGATGCCATCTCTCGATATGGTTATGTTCCACATTATACTTCAGGAAAACCCACTTTACGTTTGCACAAACAAATTGATGCTTTGGAGATACTAGGAAGCTGAGTAAGCCTTAGTTCAAATTTATTAAGTCCATGCCATGACCACTATATTTTCAGCAATTTGTGGTTTGTACGAAAGCAGATTCAACATTAATACTATGCAAATAATTTGTTCCATTGCTGAATCTGTTAGCTTTAGCACTGAATTTGTCTTGCCTTTCTTAAACAGACACAAGACAACAGACAAGCCTTCTGTTTGGTCAAGGTCCTTATGGTCAAATGAGAAGCTGTGCAAGTTCTTCATGGGATAACCCAGTAGGAGGCTTCAAATTTGCAGAAACAAAAGCTCCTTGGTTAAGAGCTGCTGGTGTTGATGGGTTGCATCTATCAAGTCAGCAGGTGTGGAACAACTTTATGCCACATGGTGTCCATCAAGATTTTGATGGGTTCACAGCTTTAAAAGGAACCAATGCAAAGGTCCTTGATCAAGGTAATTTTTCATCTGTACTTATGAACCGATGGTCAGTCACTTGCTTGAAAAACTGTTTCTCCTGAAATTCCAAACCAGGGAAAATTCATAGATAGGTGCACCTATATGTTTATTATTTTAGGAGCCTTTCATAAAATTTATCTTCCAGATGATTCTTCTGTCTCTGTGTTAGTGTACATAATTTGTTATCGCCTGATTTGAAGTTTAGGACTTATAATATGTACCTGTATCATTCATATACGTTTGCATCACACTAGTATATAGCATGTTTCTGAATTTGCATTTGCAGTCTGAGAACCTTTCTTTGGAAGGGACGAGATCAGAGCCTGACTGCTAGGCCATATTTTCGATGTTTTTATCTTGGTCAGTTAATGACCATCAGTCACCATTTTTTAGTAACATCCAAGTAATCTATTTCTTGCCTTTGTACTAGCTTATTGCAACATGATTGAGCGTTTTTACTCAAGGCTTGAACACACTAGCATATGATTTATGTTTTGCAAGTGCTGAGTCAGCAAAGACCTGCAGTCTCATCTGAAACTTGTCCAAAATGAGAGCAGACCCAGTGTCGGAGGCTCCCACATGAGTGGGGTCTGGGGAAGGGAAAAAACGAGGCAAGCCTCCCCCCCGCAAAATCTGCGGAGAGGCTTCTTCGAATCCGTGACCTGGTGACTCAGTGAGACAGCTCTCACCACTGCACCAGGCTTACCCTTCCATCTGAAACTTGTCCACTTTACTGAATTGCCAACATCAGTAGCTGCCACCTAAACCTTGATTCGGCTCTTTCATAACATGGCCAAAGGATACAGCACGCTAAGCCAACTTTTCAGAATCAGACCCCACTGCACCATAATTGGGACCTAGGATGGTTTGTATTGATCTCTGTGTAAGGTGGGGGGTTTATATCATGGTTGGTTCCCAAATTTGGCATGTTGTGATAGATGGCACTCATGGTTGGTTCTGAAATTTGGTACATTGTCAAGTAGATTCCAACCGCCATTTTTTTTCTTCCTTTTCTTGTATTGTTGGGAAATCAGTAAGTAGCCAACAGTGTCATCCTCATAGACAATATGCTTGGGTTCCAGATTCCATGAATAACTTAACTGATTGATTGATTTTTGCTTGTGCTGCTCAAAACTTGTGGTTCTTAATGCTACACATGCAGGCAAAACCTCGAGAGGCACCGAGCCAGAATGTTGTTTTTTCTGTAAATGATCTAATCATCATTGATTTTGGTAATTGATGATATCCTCTATATGGAAAATTATTGACCCTACTATGCTTTAGTTTTAATTACTATGAACTATAAGATTAACTGAATTTAACACTGCACTCTTATCTCATAAGTCATATACTCCTGTCAGGAATGGTTGTTTCCAAATAAACAACTAAGACGGACAACAGTTGCAGTAGCATATATGGCATTTATTGTATCGAATAAATATGCATTTTCAACAAACTTGAGGATTTTGACTATCGCTGAACATACCTAGTACCATAACATGCATCCTTCCCTTGACGTGTTTCCAGGCGATGAAGCTTCTGCGGTCGTCTCGAACCCAGACAGAGCCCCGGATCTTCAGCGTGCTCTCTCTCTTCTGTCAAACAGTCCAGCCGGTGCGGGTACCAACCAGCAGCCGACTGCTCAGCTGCACCACCACCACGCTGGCCTGAGCACCCTCGCCGCCAGCTCCAGCTCCTTGATGCAAGCCTCATCACCAGGGCTGTGGCAAGACAGCGGTAGCGTGGCCCTGGGCCACCATGCCCACGCCCACACGCGGTTTCAGGCTCTCGATGCCACAGGCAGTGGCGCTGCCATTGCAACAACGGCTCAGGAGCTGCTCCAGCTCCCGAGGCCGCCGTCCTCGTACGACAGCCCCTCGTCCCACTACGACCTGATGCGCTGATGCTTCTCCCTTCAGGCTTCAGGTAGAGCGCGCGGTTTGCGCAGGATTGGACTCGGCTTCTGGCGTCTCTGGAACTCGGGATTTTGAACTGCTGTATGTTTGATCTGAATGAACGAACAAAATAAAGGCCTGCACAAACCTAGCCTTGTTGCCATGGAAACTCGTGGGATCGCCAGGAGCTGCGTGTGCTTGAATAATCCACAGTTTTGTGACGCTAGCTTTCTATTTATTTGTGTAAAGTAACTCTATTGCTTGAATAATCCCAGATGTCTCTCTCACCACTCTTGCCTCTGATGAATGATGATCCTAACTGCTGTTGTTTCCGCAACGAGGGCGTTAACTGCTGGCTAGAGAGCAAATGGACGATGACGCGGCGGCGGCGGCGGACCTTGGCGGCCACGGCAGCCCGTGCCCCGCCTCGCTCGTCGCCCGCGCCCCGCGGGCCGCACCTCCCCCCATCTCCGGCTGCGGTCGTGCCTAGAGCTTTCCTTCCCCAACTGCCAACTGCCGAGCTGCGATGCATCCGACCTAGCTATCAGCCTATCAGCGTGCAGGAACCCCGACGCCGACCTCTCGCCGGCCGGCGGCCGCCCATCCAGACTCCTATTCCTCCGCCGCGGCCGCCAATGGAAGGACCCCTCCTCGCTCTAATTTTGGATCATTCCTGATTCCTGTGCGGCTCAGATCGACAACTGTCGCAGGAAGTTTTGCGAACTGCAACCTACAGTTCTAAATTCCTCGTAATAATTAAGCCTTATACTTAGCCCATTTCACGTCTAGTGCCTAAGTGTGTTCTCTATTATCTACCGTATAAAAATTTTACATTTTAGGTTCCAATCCTATTTTAGCATGACAATTCTAAGAATGTAAAGATATGAATTAAATTGTTCAAAAGTAAATGATTAAATTAAAGAGAGAGGAACACGACGATGTTTTTCTAAGGTATCAGAGAGTTTTCATTCCCCACTAGTCTTCGTTGGAGCACCCGTAAGGGTGTAGCTTCTCCTTAATCTACGCAAGGATTAAGTGCTCTCTACGGGCTGATTCTTCGACACTTTGTCGCGGTGAATCACCCACAACCGCTCACACCATGACTTAGGTCATCCATAAGCTTCGCCGGATGATCACCAAGCTTTCAATTACCACCGAACCGTCTAGGTGATGACGATCACTAAGAGTAACAAGCATAAACTCTCACTTTACCAAGACAATGCTAATGAGAAAGGTGGATGCACACTTGCTACTCCCTATATATTAATGATGTCCTTAATTTTGGATTATCAAATCTCAATCACCCAACTAGGCTTTTGCTCTTCCTTACTCCAAAGTGTTTTCTCAGTGAACAAATGAGTAAGAGAGCTAAGTTGAACGAGTGGGAGAAGTATTTATACTCCCCACTTCAAAACATCCCATTAGGATCCAACTCAGCACATTTCGTACTGACCGAACGCGTCTGTCAAAGTGACCGTACGCGTCCGATCAGTGGCCAACGGCTACAGTGCGTAGAGAGACATTGGAGTGACTGGACCCACTGCAGAGTCCGGTCCACCACGACCTGACGCGTCATGTCATCAATTTTCCTCTCTGAAAGCTTTCTGTTGTTGACCGGACTCATACACGCGCGCGTTTGGTCATTTTTCCTTCTCAGCGTCCGGCCATGCCAGAGCGCTGCGCCTCACTGCAACAGTCACACCATCATGTCCGGTCCTCGCTAGGAGCCAGTGTCCGGTCGGAGTGAAGCCTCGGCTGCAGCGCCCTGTGAACTGACTGGACTTGACAAGCCAGAGTTCGGTCCCTGCACTTCCAGTGTCCGGTCATTAATATGACACTCAATTCACTTCCAAAACGAGAACCTTTGTGAATGAGTTTGACTCCAATCAATCTTTGAGCTGTCCCTGAGCTAGCTGGTGCTAAGTTTGACAAGTGTACACCACACCTAAATCATTAGACTCACCTAGGTCAAGCTACTAGTTTATACCCCCTTAATAGTATGGCTAAAGGAAAACTAAAGTCCTAAACTACTCTAAGTGTCTCTCCAACGCCAATCGACACTTAGAACTAGTCCGTCCTTAACCCTATTGTTCATCCTTTGAAAATCAAAATGATTTACATCGATAGGGGCATGAGAACCATTGGTTGCCCAATCAATCACCATTATCGTGACCTAACTCAAATTGTCTCTGCAAAACACACGTTAGTCACAGTAATCTTGTATCGTCATTAATTACTAAAACCCAACTAGAAGTCTAGATGCTTTCAGTCACGTTTTAGTATATCAAGTTTGACTAATTATAGATAAAAAAATATAGATATTGATAATATGAAATTAATATCATTTGATTAATTATGAAATGTATTTTCATAATAACTTGATTTGGAGCCATAAATGTAAATATTATTTACTAGAAACTTGGTCAAACGTGAATCACTTTAACTGGTACGCAACCCATAGTTGCATCCTTTTGGGATAGAGGTAGGTAGTACCATACATGCCAAATATGCCATGCTAGATCCCCGCAGCCGTGGGTCCCACGTGAGGGTTGTGCTCATACGTCGTTCTTTGTGCTCTCCTTCACTCTACTCTAGCTCATAAAATGTTGATGACATGGACACCCCGTGAGTTTTCATAGGGACTTGCGAAGATGAAGCATGCACGACTATCTTGTAATCTTGTTGATTCATCGCAAGGGGTGGTTAGGGCAGAGCCGTAGAGCATGTGTGGCGACAAGACAAAGCTTGTGGCATAGGAGCCATACACAGGTGAAAGATGCTTGGCTGCAAGGTTTACTTAGCCATATCCATGCCTTATTTTTGACAGTTGTCTACTTTCCTCTTCCTCTTATGGAGCGTCATGTTAGTGTTTTGTCACCGCCAAGTTGCAACACGATTACGGAGCTATGTGTGTGATTCCAAACTAGATGATAACACAAGACACAATGATTTTATATGGATTTAGGCCCATAGGAGGAGGTAATGCCCTTTCCTGTTTCAGTGATTGTATTACCTGTGCTCAGGTGACATGGGGTATGATAGGGGTACTGAAAGGACCAAGATGCCCAAGAGGGGGGGGGTGAATTGGGCTAATTCTAATTTTTTGCAATAATTAAGCCCTACACTTAGCCTATTTCACCCCCTTATGCCTAGAAGTGTTTCTATTGTTCTACCACACAAAAGTTTTGCACCATAAGTTCTAATCCTACTCTAGCATGGCAATTCTAAGAATGTAAAGACATGAATTGAATTGCTCAAATATAAATGTTCAAAGTAAAGAGAGGGAGAGGAACACGACGGTGTTTTTCTAAGGAATTAGAGAGTCACCACTCCCCACTAGTCCTTGTCGGAGCATCCGTGCAAGGGTGTAGCTCCCGCTTGATCCGCGCAAGGATCAAGTGCTCTCTACGGGCTCATTCTTCGACACCCCATCACGGTGAATCACCCACAACCGCTCACACCATGACTTGGGTCATCCACAAGCTCCGCCCAATGATCACCAAGCTTCCAATCACCATCGAGCCGTCTAGGTGATCGCGATCACCAAGAGTAACAAGCACGAACTCTCACTTGACCCAACCAAGCCTAATAAGAAAAGTGGATGCACACTTGCTACTTTCTATGCACTAATGAGGTCCTTAATCTTGAATTAGCAAATCTCAATCACTCCACTAGGCTCTTACTCTCCCTTGCACACCCTCAGCTGAACAAATGGGCAAGAGAGCCTCAATGCACGAGATGGAGGGGTATAAATAGCCCCAAGCCAAGGAACTAGTCATTATCCTCCAACTCAGCATAGTCGGGGTCACCGGACAGCAAGGTGGCGCACCGCCACCACCTGTCCGGTGCCACCCCAACGGCTAGTTTTGAACTAGCTGTTACTGGGCTAGCACCGCCACCCTAGGGAGGTGACCAAGCCCCAGATTCCCTCCTCTCTGGAATAAAGCAGCGGTGGCACCGCCACCCCTAGGGCGATGCCCTATCCGGTGACCCTCCTAGCAAAACACCGAAACACTGAGTCTCTAGAAAATTATGGTGGTGGCACCGCCACCCCAAGGGCGGTGCCCTATCCGGTGACCGCCTAGAGAAATTTCCAAACCAGCAGCCTCAGGAAAAAGGGCGATGGCATCGCCACCCCCTAGGTGGTGCACCGTCACCCCCACGGCGGTGTACACCGCCGTGTCCGGCGCAGTTTCGAATCGTTTTTGAACTTTCGCTAATCTTGGGCTTTATTTGAGCTACCTAGTGCTAGATTAAACAAATGTGCACCACATTCTTCTCACTAGACACGCCTAGGTCAAGCTACCCATCCATGCCCCCCTTTATAGTACGGCCAAAGGAAAAAACAATGTCCTACAACTAATCTAAGTGTCTCACAACGCCAAACGACACTTAGAACTAGTCCATCCTTAACCTTGTCGTCCATCCTTTAAAAACCAAAACGATTCCATCGTCAAGGGCATGAATACCATAAGTGCCCAATCAATCACCATTATCATGACCTAACTTATAATGCCTCTGTAAAACACATGTTAGTCACGGTAATCTTGTGTAGTCATTAATCACCGAAACCTAACTAGGGGCCTAGATGTTTTCAATCTCCCCCTTTTTGGTGATTGATGACAACACAACCTCGAGTATGTGTAAAAAAAGAGATTTGAGGTTTTCATCCGCTTGGTTTGCATGAACTTGTGGCAATAAGAGCAAAGGGGTTAGAACAAGTTCATACATACCAAGTCCACAACATGTACTCAATATATAAGAATTAAGCGCGAGTACAAGAAGGTAGAAGCTCGTTTAACATCGAAGTTAGGCGGAAGCATAATAAACGAGCAACACAACGGAGACATGATATATAAATATATCGATAAGTCAACATGTCTCACAAGTCATCACACATGCAAGCACGCATATAATACAGTGCATAGCGAAAATGTAAACATGCATGCAACAAAATATGGGAGTAGCACACAAAGATATCAAATCCCTCTCACAAGCTCTCCCCCTAT